ATCTAAAGACCATAAAGATAAAGGAACAAACACAAAAAGCACAAGCCAAACAAACTTAATAATTATTATTATTCCTATTATAATGTTTTGCAGGTTGTATGCTTAATTAATAGAGTAAAATACATTTTACATACTTCATTACATGGTTAATTCTGAATAATAATTAATAATAGAATTTTTAAGTAATAAATAACTTTATATGCACATATTTATTTTAGCATAATATTACACTTATTCCAATGAACACAAATAAATGGTCTATCATTGTGTATAATAAATTAACTTACTTTGCAAATTAAAAATTTACCAACCATTTTTTGTTGCAATTTTAATTTTTATACTTACCTTATGATTATATACATAAACAACTACAATCTTCACACAAACATTACTCCAATAAATCGACATAACCTTATTTACCATACAACATTTGAAAGCTATGGCCATTCTAAATGTTCTGTTATGTATTTTTTCACATAATATAGTATCTGTATAACAATTAATTTTGTTTTTCACAAACGCTGAATTGTTTTATGAATGTATTGTTAATATTTAATATAAAAAAAGTGTACACTCATTATCGGGTATCTCGATAGGTGATACTCTATAAAAGCACAAATCATTATCACAGAATAACTCAACACAATAATTCTGTGTTATTATTATATCGCAGTTGGTGTACCTGCGTAAATGTTTTTATTCAAAAACACAGTTGTCGACCATGGTAATTGCAGTGGAGAGCAGTTCTATAATAGTATACCTAGTACAGTACCTACTCAATTTATACATTTAACGTAAGTAATAATTATTAATAATGACTATAATATTATTGTTGATGACCTAATGTGGAAAAATATTCGGTGCGACTATAAATGAACAATAATAGGTACCTACTCAATACTTATCGGAAAAAATACGTGACACGAGAGATGGGACTATTTTATCAAGATAAAACTTGGATTTTCCAAAACTAAGTGTACAGAAGTGAGTACCTACACAAAGGAAACATGGAAATTGCAAACATGAAATAAGTCGTGGATTGTTGTTGGGGTGCATGACATTTACACTATAATTCCTATTTTATACAAATATTCTGTAAACAATATGGGTGATTGATTATGTGTATCCCGTAGTTACCTTTACGAGACGTTTCGTCGGCTTGGAGGTGATATGGAGGATCGCTCGAGATTCGTTTCCCCAAAATTGTCTAACACAGCACAGCACTATCCACTGGCGGTTTGTTTGGATTTGCCGATACCGAAGTGCAATCGGTTGAACACACAAATTATCAATAATTGGCATGAAATATTTTCTGATCCGAACGCTGTAAGTTCCTGAAATGCATACAAATCAATTTTATGATTTTTTTTTTTTCAATTGGCCGGTTATACTACCTATATGCGTATAGTTCAGTAGTTCACAGTGCAGTTTTTGTCGGCATAAGTATATTATATATGTCGACCGGCTTTTTTGTAGATTATGAATTTATATATTTTAAATTAAATGATTTATGAATTTAATTCTTAAAAATCGTCAAACCGATTGGGCCTTTAATTATGTGCGACATGCGTACGGCAATAAATTAATTCACTCAGTTACTGCCAGAATGTCCATAGTAATAATATATATTAAGTTTCTGCAGCGGTCGATCCACTTATTTATATGTATTGCTAAAAAAGGTAGAACCGATTTTTTGATTCATAAGTTACAAGTTTCACAAAATGCCGAGTGCCGACACATCAATTTAATACTCTATCCCCAGATCTCACCCTCCATTCTATTTGAATATCTACTGTGTAAAATTATAATAATATATTATAGGTAACCTACCTATATTATTGGTTTTACCATACCTATGTCTTTGAGTACCTATGTTCAGCAAAGTGTACCCTTATCGTTCCATGATCGTCTTTCTCGTTTCATATAAATTATGCATTTACATTTTCAAAACAGTCTTCTGATTTAACAATTTACTAGAAAAATGAGAATCTCATTTGAGAAAAAAAATTTGGTATCGCCACACGGCCACTCCTTAAATGGTATAAAAATCTAGGGGAAAATAAGTATTTATTAAAAGTTAAAAAAAATCAGAATTTGAATAAAATATATTAAAGAAAATCTTGGCTATAAATATGTACCTAAGGGAAATTTATACACCTTTGTATTACAAACCGTATAATAATATGCGTAAGGCATAATCTGTTGCGAATTGTTCGTGAGAATCAGACTATAAATAATAAATATATATATTTCTAAGAAAAATTACGTAATGTGTATAGATAAGTATTTTATTGTACGTATTTAAATTAAACTGATCATACTATACCATGTGTGTAGAATTAGGCATTAATAGAGTTTGATAAAAATTACTAGAAGCATTTAGAACTTTTAGCCCTATACTTGGTAATTTTAGTTAAAAAAATCTATACTTATTTTTCAACATAGAGCTGTACAGTTGTAAAAATAACCAATACAATGTAAGTAATAATTACATACTTTGACAAAGTATAAACGGTTGTACAAACAAACGCTATGGTGTTAAAAACTCTTAGGTATAAACCTTGAGTTTAACCATACATTTTATGTATTTATAGAAAGACTTAACTGAGGGTTTATCCAATTAAAATAATTTTAGTCGAAATATGAGTTGGGTACACGTCAATTATAAGCAAATAATCTTGAAATAAGAAAACAGAAAATACATGAGAAAATCATAATTAATAAGAGTTAAAATTGTAAAAACTCTTCTTATATTGTTAGAATGATTTTTTTTTTAAATTACTGATTGTCTATTGATAAATAGTATATGCATTACTTTAGTAATGCTGTTTTATTTTACTGAGGTTTAGATTAATAATTATTCTTATCATTACAGACTTATACAGTTATAGATATTTTAATCACATCTTACATTCTTAATATTATTTTGTCCTCTAAATTATACATAAGTGTTATACATTATGTACATTTATAGTGTTGTACATTAAGTATTTCGGCCAAATTATAATACAGTGTAATATTATACTAAACGCTAGCATAAACACATTATTTATAAGCCACTCGTCTGCTAGACTAATTTTGTTTATTCAATTAAAAAATGAAGCATTAGCTGTTTGGTATAAGGATGAATGTTATCTCTGGTAGGCACTTGATATTCTTGAATCGTAAATGTGCTCTGGGATATAAATGTATAATAGATAATAAATAAATGTATAGACCCTTAACACCTAATCAACTAGTGGATCGGAAATGCTTTTTCGTCCATGTACTGTAAGTATAACTTACTACAGTAATTTGCTTAAACGATCCGTTTAAAATGCGTTAGATTCAAAACGGATTGGAATAATAATTTGCTTCAATTTACATCTCCTCCTAACGACTTAACAATCTTCCTTCGGCACACAACACCGATTTTGTTGGGTATTTTTTTACTTTTCATAATCACATTATTATTTTGAACATTTACACAATTTATTTATACTTATAAGTTATAGAAGGAAAATGTTATGCTGCGGTCGTGGTCGGGTGGTGTAACAACTTACATATCTAGCACTTATTATATACCTATATACAATATATTATTATATTTTGGTAGAAAATAAATGAAATAAAAATAAAATATACCATTTTGGTATTGTTTATTTCAATCAGAACCATTATTCAAACAATAGATGTTTTCATTTATAACAATTATTCCTTTGCATAATATTTATGTTTTGGTTCAATGACTAGGTATTGTCTATTTGTGTGCACCAATCCTATGCCGTCAACGATTTCTGAAAATTATACTTTCATCAGTTGACATTCCGTGTCTTATATATGCCGAATTTAACTTACAAATGCAAATTCTAAATTTAATTCTCTTCTACAAGTACCTATATGATACAATTATGTTGTAGTCTGAAGGTTGCGTATAGTAAAAATTGCATAAGAAATAATATAGGTACAATTGTATTTGAATAAAAGTTTTTATTTTATCAATATCTTGTGTTCACCGTATATATATACAGGAAAAATCTGAAATGTTAGTAGGAACGTATAATTTTTATTTTATTTCAATTTTTTCAAGTTTTGGCTTATATTTTAAGATTTTTTTTAAAAAATGCGTTATGTAAGATGTATAATTATTATATTCGTAAATGTCAATTTTGTTTGAGTTGAAATTATGTAAGCCTCAATATTTTTGTACTTATTCAATATTACATAAATAGAAGAAGGTTGTGTGATTTCAAGTTAAGCAATCGTCGACTATAAAATATATTATATTATTATTAACTTTTATAGTAATCAAATAAATTCAGACAACGATACTGCACCTACCTGTGTATTAATGTATTTTAACCGCACACTCTTATTGCTGCAGTATGAGTGATACGCATGCAATTATAATGTGCGATATAATATGCATTAAAATGTGTCGACGATTGATCGTTCCGGGTGCGTGTGTCTAAAATGTACGAAACGTTCGAATGAAACGAGACGGCGGGAGAGCGGGCTACTGTGGCTTTTGCACTCTGCACTCCCGCCGCCCCCTAATTTTACGGACTCTGACGGGGCTTAAATCATATTATCGTAAACATTAATTCATATTAAAACAGCTATGTATACCTGCACCGTATTGCCAATGCAGCTTGCACCCCCCGCCACCACATTGTCGATCGTCGGTCGAAAATAATAATAATGTGAAACCTACTTATTACAATTATTGTCACTCGTTATTTTAATATATTATAATGATAATATATTAAAACTCGTACGTATAACCAATAATAATAATTTTTATTATTTTCTCGGGGACCATAACCTAACCTACAAGGTCGCCGGTCACCGCGGTCCACTTCTCGTACCGGTCACCAGATGGCATTTACGCATTTTCTTTTTTCGCGAAGTGATTCGGCGGCGGCGGCGCGACGGGCTGTATATACGTAACTACGCCCCGCTCTACCCCTTTGAATGGGACGCAGCGCGCGGCACGAGCTCAACAGTCGTTTCGCGCCCGACGTGCCGACCACACGCGCTCGCCGACCGAGGTTTCCGCCGCACCGGAACCGAACGGATTTCGCGCCGCTCACGGAACCGACCGTCTCGCGTGCATCCGATTCGATATCATTGTTTCCGGTTTTTCAATCGACACGCGGCCGATTGTCGCGGCGTTTCCAGTTTTCGAACACTCGGACAGTCCAGAGGGTTGAATATCGTTATTTTAGCGCCGAAAAAATTTAATTGACGATCGTCCATCCGTCACTGCTGTCGTCGCCGCCGCCGCCGCCGCCGCCGCTCGGGGTAGACGACGTCCGTCCGTCGTCCGAAGGTCTATGAACTGCCGAGTGTGGTGATAGGCGAACGGATCGACAGAGGTACGCGCGGCCACGACGAGCGTCGACGATGCGTACCGCCGCGCTGACCGCGGTCGCGGTGTTGGCCTGCTGCCGGCCACCGCTACCCGCCGTCCGGGCCGCGTGCCTGCACACGGCCAGGGACCTGCAGGCCCAGGCCCGCGCGTCCGAGGTGGTGGTCAAGGCGCTGGCCATGCGCGTATGGCCGGAACCCGACGGGCTGACAGGCGGCCACTTTGCCGTCATGGCCGTCTACAAGGGCGCCCGGGCCGTGAAAAACGTGTTGCGCGTCGGCGGCACTGACTTGTTCAACATGCACGATAAGTGAGCAATATTTTCTTTCGCACTAATATTTGGCAACATTAATGTTATTATAGCAATTATTATTGAAAATAGTGTTAATAATTAGTGCTCGGATTTCAATGCAAATAGTGTAGTCAACTTTTAAGATTTGAAAAAATGTGATTTCTAATATTACCTAATAGGTACATATATTTTACTCGTTTAATGTAGTATAGTTGTGATATGTAGACGATGAAAACAAACTTCATTTCGATTTTTTTGAAAAATTTTTTTTGCGGACGCTCCATTAGGTAGGTATTTTATTACGACATGAGTGATAGTAAAAAAAATAAAAATGTAAGTGAAAAGAACAAAAAGACGATAACTTTAATTATGATAATATCTAATTAGGTACTATGTATTATAATGTAGGTAACGTAATAAATATTGAAGATCGATTTTACGGGTCTTGCACTGAAATGTAACCCATTTCGATAACAGTAATTTTCAGATGGATTAAAGGTACTTACGTATTTATTCTATGTATAGTTACTATAGTAGTTGAGTACAAGGCACCTTTACAATATTTAAAATGTGTTCAAATCACTATCGATGGTATTTTTTTTTTATGAAAAAACGCCTAAAGCCAAGAGAAATTCTACATTAATAAAAAAAAGTCAGTATAAGTGTTTAGTGAAGTGTTTTTCAACTGATGGGACAGTTTTGTTTTTAAATTATGTAAAAGTGAGTGTAAAAAAATAAAACGTACGCCACAGCATATATTACGGGGAGAAAAACCTATACATATAATACAGGCTGTGAGAAAATCTGCCACCTAACGCTTTTTTCAGAAATTGTAATGATTTTTTTGTTATTTATTTTGCTTGAAAATACGAACCCTAATAATAATAGTATTACAATTTGTTCTATTACCGTAAGTGTATGAGTAGCGAGTACACATGACTATATATGGCCACACATTATATAAAATAAAATCACAATTATTTAAACATAGCAATGTCGATCTGTGTAAAATTAGTAATCTGAAAATAACATAACTTTTTTAATCGATGATATATAATTAATTGTTATTAAACACAGGATACAATAGATAGTACTTGGGGATGTATAATTTTGAATGGTGAATTTGGATTTTGTTTTCATTTATTTCTAGTCAAGTATACTTTATAATGGTTATTTTTCCCAGGAAACAGTAATCGTTTATAAGGTAGTATGGTACCAATAATATTATATCCACATACATAATTATTGACTTATCGAATATATTTTGTTTTCATAGTTTTATTATTCGTCGTAACTGCGAAACCAATTTTGGGTGGATTTAGTATTTACTGAGTTTACAACGTGTGTCTCAATGTCACATGTTACGAGGCACAACAATAAATTAATAAGCGTCCAAATATTATAATGTTGTCAAGTTAATTATTTAATTTACCATACGCATAGCCGCATAGGTGATGAGGGGAGCTAAGTCGCCCGCGGGTTACTGCATAGTTTTTCCATTATGGAATGGTGTTTTCTGAACAAAATCAGAGTTCATTCTCAATTTTTGTTCCGATTTGAGCACTGGTGTGTGATATATACAATACAACAAATTACCACTGTATTTTTTTGTTTGTGAACGTATAATAAACGAATTATTGATTTTTACAATCGTCAATAATTATTTACAAATGATTAATGTGACTGTTTCGCATGTATTTGTGAAATTTAATATATTATGATTGTCCTACGCATTATTTATTAGTTTTGCTCGATAAAATGTGACACTGGACGGTTTAAATAGAACGTGTACATGTATATGCTTTATTTTTTTTCAACGGCATCACAAAGTGTAATCATGTGATAATGTGATATTATAAATTATAACATTCACCACGTGCGTTATTCTCCTACATTGAGTACTAATTCTTGTAACCATGTAGTCTATAGTAGTATAGTAGGTGTAACTTACTCGAGTGTGTAAAACGTTCATGTTCAGCCAACTCGTATTGTGTATAATTTAACAATATTTACTATTTATGACCCTATCGACCTAAATTACAAGCCAATACTAATGTTGTGTGTGCGCGTATTAAAATATCTCGGTATCCAAGTGTTATATTAAGTTAGTAATTTATGAACTTTCTTGGTTATGATTATGAAATCTTATATTTATGATCAATAGTATGTATTTATAACATATTATCAAAAATTAAAAAACAATGAACAAAGTTACTTACAACGATACTATTAAACGACTGGTAGTTTTGATACTTTTAAAATGAAAACCACCAATTTTCAGGATATCATACATATTACCATAGCATATATTATTGTCCAATCGTATTGTTTGAAAGTTTTTTTTCTCAATGGGCGCTTATGATATATTCGGATATTCCTTTTTAATGATTTAAAAATATGTGTACATTTAAAAGAATCATAATAAGTTATGGTTATTTGGAAACATTTTCTGCTTTCAAAAACATTGTGACTTGGAGCTTACAAATTTACAATAGCAAATATTTTTAATATTCGTTGAAATTATATTTAAAATGACCTAAGACGATATATTAAGCCCAATTAATTTGTCATGAATTTATTTATAGAAATTATTTTAAATTATAAGGTAGAATGTACCTATGAAGTTGGCTTTAATCAGAATAAAAAAAACAACTTAAATCAGTATTTGAAACCTGAAGTATATAGGTACAGTAAATTATCTTTGAATAGTTTATTTTTAAATAGTAAATAGTTCTATACCTACAGAATATAAATCAATTATAAAATCTTTTAGTAGTGAATTTATATATTCATTTTTCTTTTACATAGCTTTTCGTTGCAGTTTTTTCTTATTGATGTATTATATGAAGTATAGTAAATTATCATGAGTACTATTTTTTCCATCATTATTTTATGCATACCATATTTAAACTTGTACTTTTTTATCTTACTATAATACTCCTTCTTACTACTATACTCGTACTACTATACTAGTTACTAGCTTTATGGATAAAAATATGATTTGTATAAATTGTAATCTTGAGAAATATTAATTTAAATATTTGATTTTGTTTGAAAACCTCTAGAATATTTGTTATTACCTACTTATTACTATTATTAGTATTATTATATAACTTAAAATATCCTATATGTATGCAAACAAATTCACAACGCACTCTAATATAAGATCATAACTTAAATGTAACCCTGTGATAATTTTGATAAAATTCTTTCAAAATCTCTGAAAATATTTACAATTTCTATTTTATTTCTAAAAAAATGATTCGTATTTTTATTTTAAACTAAAATATGTTCTCTACAGGGCTTATATCTGTCTGAATACATTCAATAATAATATAAAATATTTTATTTATTATCCATATACCTATGATAATTAAAAAAAAAAAAATTGTTTCATTAATAGCAGTCAATAGACGATAGTAGTACACTTACTTGTACATCTAGGCAATAATCGCTATAAAGTATACTCACACCTTAACATTTTTTCAAATTAAAGTTATACGATTTAAACGAATTTACCGCTATATTATGGTTTTTTGTTTACAATGGTAGCCACACAAAAGTTAGTTCATAATTTACATTATTTTCAACATAGAAGTTTTCAATGTATTATGTACGAATGTATGATATATTAATAATGATATTCACTAACAAATTGAATTTTATTATTAACTATGTATATTATGTACTTTCTTAATTAATGTTTTTCAACCTTACATTAGGTACTGATTGTATTAAAAAGTTTTGTTAACATAATTATGTTAATTCTGTTGAAGCAAAATTAGTATTTTCTTTCTTAATTTTAAATAATAATTACACTTTTATACGGGATACTGATGTATACTACTATTGAAAACGAAATAAAAAAAAAAACCAGAGAACTCTGGTTAGGAACTCTGGTTACAGAAACCTGTATAGGAAGTTTTAGGTGTAACTCGTCATTGAGTAGGTTACTTATATATATGTATATATATGTGCGTGTGTTAAATTTTAATTAAATAATAGTTCATTGATTAAGAAACATGATTAATAACTAAGGATAAAGGTGGATCAGCATCTATTTCTATTAGGATTTAGGAAGGTTTATGTTATTTTGTTATTATTATTTAAGGTAGGTAGAACTTATTTTTTTCAAAAATATCACGTGGAACTACATACAATTTATATAAGTCAATTGCGGTGAAGCCGCGTAGGTACTATACAAATGTGAGTCTAGTGGGTCGTGCTAAAATAGATTACAATTGGGTAGTTACATAATTTTTAACAATTTGAAACGTTTAGAAATACGAGAAAAAAACATAGGTACATCATGATAAAAATTGTCATATGTCTATGGTTTATATTTTATGAATTCAAACAAAATAACTTAAATTGATTAAGAAAAACGTTATTTTTCATTCAAATATTCAATTTTGTAAAATTTAAACTTCAAACGCTTATAAAAAAAATTGTACATTGTATGTATTTTTAAATTAGGTACAATAAGTACCTACAACTTGTGTTAACTTATTCGGATCAATTTTAAAGATATTTTACTCAACATAAATCATAAAAAATTAAAAAAGTAGACGATTTCAAATGTCTCTAAATAGCTTATTATAATTACTCTAAATATGAAACACGTTGAGCATATAAAATTATGGTACACATATTTAGACAAAATTAATAATTCAAGTCTATAGTCGGTTAATGGTTATTATTTTTTGAATCATTACAAAAACAAAATCAAAATCAGTTATCTAAACTTAGGAATACCTAAATATTCTCGTTGTTCTGCTGTAATTTATCAATTTTCCAAATAATTAGGAAATATGCTTGGTTTTTTTTTTTACTTCTGACGACCCAAAGTGTTAGTTACATCAAATATTTTCTAGCCCACCATCACTTTAAAAATCAAAGATTGAATCATGTTTTCTGCACCAAAAAGTGATGTATCTGTCTCACATCGCACAAAAAAAAACCTTTGTGGGTGATTAATTTAAGTGTATTCATGTAGATGTATAAATTCTATTTTATCA